TATGTATGTATGTATGTATGTATTACAAAATTTCTAATTTCTTTTTATGCAATTTTCGTTTGTCGTCGAAATTGAAAAAAGATTGTCAAATTCTCTTTGTACCCAGATCTTCGGACATGTTAATTTAAGAATTCGTAGATTATCGAAAAATCTGTGTATTTCCAAATATCTTTGTACGTCGGTGCTGCGATACTACGCTCGCCGAGTAGCTCGCTTCAGCTTCTTTAATACGTGTAATCAATTTTGATTGCATAAAAGCCGTGCGTGCGTGCGTGCGTGCGTGCGCAGCAAGCCTGTTAATTAACCGAACCTGTGCTTTCCACTTGTGTGTTTCTTCAATTTACTTTCAATTATCGCCCGTGTAGCCGTTTTGTCATGGCTCACCTATTTATCACGAGCTTCGTGACATGCATCTGTCTATCTATCGATATATTTGAATTTACGACTTAGCAGTTTTTAATGAGTTCAACTGCGGGATTTAGAATCATGAGAATAATTTGAAATAAATTGAAGCGCGGAATAATTTGAAATAAATTGAAATTCGTCAAGGCAGGTAAATTTAACAGTTCAACTGGCCCATTAAATTGTGTAATTTAATTGTGTTACGATATTTAATTAGTTTATATATAGATACGGTCACTTTTCGAAAATTCGTAATTAATTCGTAAACTCGTTTGCGGATCGATTTCTTTCTCATTCGCTAATTGACTGATTATCGTCGTGGTTGGAAAAACCAGTGGTCGTAGTATCTTAATTAACCGCGTGCGAAGCGGAATTCTGTTTAACGCGTCAACCAGATAAGATACACCTAAGACAGTGTCACTGAAAATCATTCCTCACCATCTTAACCGCCATTCTTTTTTTCAACTAACCGACTCCGATTTTCGCACCATGAACATTCGCACTTCCGTGCCACGATTTCCCCTCCTCGACGTGAGATCTAATTCTCGCGCGTTTCCACGGCGCAACACTTTCTCTGAACGATGGAATTCGCGGTTCTCCCGTAAACCTTGAGCTTTTGTTTGCAATTTATTTCTCTCGTCTCTGCAAACTCTCAAATCTTCTCGAGGATCGCCGAAATCTTCGAACGTTCGAATTTTTATCTCGCAAAAAAGGGGGGGGGGAATAAAGAAAGAAAGGAGAATTAATTTCGCCAGGTAACGACGCTGAGATTCGTCGAATTTTTGAATTTTTATTTCGCAAGAAGAAAGAAGGGAAAATTTTTCACCGAGGTTCAAGTTCCACGAATTTGCCAATTTTTATTCTCGCGAAGACAGAGAATGAGAATAATTTCATTAGGTTAGGCGTTGCGGTTTAAAGAGTCGTCGATCGTTTGGGCAGGAAAGACAGCGATTTGTTATTGTGATTCATCGCCCCCCTTTGATTTGTATTCGACGTACGCGTTGTCGCTACATCTTATTGTCCGCGGAAATTACATTTCACGTGATTATCATACGAAATCGCGGCAAATTCGACGATTTGACGCGCGATGAATACACGAGCTCGTCCCGCATGCGAAACGCGTAATTATACACGCTTTAATTCTCTCGAACGGCAATCGCCCCGATACTTTGTTTCTTTTGTTATTAATCCAACAATCGCTCCGTTCGAAATAAATCTTTTTATCGTCAGTCGAGATTTTTACTCTGGAAGGCTGTCGGTCCCTGCGGACCGACGCCGCGACACTCGTTCGACCGGCGTCGGTCCCCAGGGACCGACACCCCGCAATATTCGCTTTAGTGGACACTTTATCGAGCCTGATGAATACGCTTGATTTTTATTAACATAAAAAATAACTTTTATTTCCAACAACCTTGTTAAAAATATTTATTTAATTTTGTACTTATTTGGTATTTGTTATATCTCACGTTGGAAATATATTCGTCTCGTTACTCGTTGGGGGGGAGGGGAAGAAAAAAAGAACTCTCATCGATCGTTACTCCAAGGCACAGTAACACATATTTCCAACATTATACTTCTTTCTAACTGAACCCAGACATTCGTTCATTAGAAATACAAATATTTCTGGGGAAACGGTAACAGCCAGAAGATTCTCGCAGCTAATTACCAGTCTCACCTGGTGAAATAATCCGTGGATTGCGGCGTTATTTGTTTTAATAACCGACTGCGATAAAGATCGAAAAGAAAACGCACGGTCGTTGATCGTTGATCGTTGTCCCGTAGCGGGCACGTCGACGGAAAAAGGAGCATGATCGAGCCCCCCCCCCCCCGGTTCCCTCGGCGCGGCTTGTTGGAATACGCAGCGGAAATGGAAAGAGAGCATGGCGAGGGAGCAGAAAAACAGAGAGGAGAAAGAAAACGGAAAAAAAGAAAGAAAGAAAAAAAAAAGAATTCGAGTATTCCAACGAGATGAACAAAAGCGGATCTTCCTAGCGAAACATCGCATCGTCT